TATACGGGTGGATCTGAGAAGATACAGTTGGCGAAAAAAGGATATAAAAAGCACTAAAAACCAACAACACTGTATATCCGAAGTGTCGGATCTACTAAGTAGATACAAGGTCACGGATGGAGATTTATATAAAGCACTAAAAATGACCAACGACACGAACAATAATAATCGCGAGGGACGGACCCTCACAAACTCCTGACGTCTGCCCAGTGCTCAATAGATCTAGTGTTCCTCTCTCCGAATCGGAGACCTCACTTCTTTCCAAGGGGCTAAATTTCTGTCCCACGCCACATGAGGTCGACGAAAAACAAGTCAGAGAGGACACCCGAGCTTTCTTTCGGAGACTTCGGTTGAAGGAGCATTTTTCTAGAAAAAACTCCGAAGTTGACTCATATGACTCTTCTCAGCCACAATTGCACGACCTAGAGGAACACAAACTCTATCGGCCAAAAAGTGACTGGGAACCTGCACCGGGCAAATGCGGAGCCCTTGAGTCGTATATTGACGCCGTGGAGTCAGACATAGAGAAACTCCTTTCAATGCCAGACAAGGCTCCCGACAATTTGAGTAAGGAAGAGAGATCCGCCTTACAATCATTAAAGAATCGGGATGACATTGTAATCAAGAAAGCAGACAAAGGCTCTACAGTAGTAGTGCTTGACAAAGAGACGTACATGGCGGAGGCCCATAGACAACTCTCAGACGAACGTTTCTATAAGAAACTGGACTCTGACCCCACTAAAGAATTCTCCACCGCCATCACCAAAACTCTTGACGAAATGTTTGAGAAAAACGAGATTGGTATCAACGTCTATGAGACACTCAATCCTATTGACTGTAGACCAGGACAATTTTATCTGCTTCCTAAGATACACAAAGAAGGTATGCCAGGTCGCCCTATAGTTAGCGCTATTGGACACCCCACGGAGAAAATTTCTGAATACATCGATTTACATCTCCGTCCACACGTAGAGAATTTGCCATCCTATCTCAAGGACACCACGGACTACATCAACAAGACGCCCTCTACTGGCCTTCCAGATCATACCCTTCTCGTGACTATGGACGTCACATCTTTGTACACCAATATTCCGCACGATGAGGGTATCGAAGCCTGTAGAGAAGTCTGGGATAGTAGATCCATACAAATTCCTTCTACCGAGTCCCTTGCCAAGCTCCTTGAACATGTTCTCAAGTATAACAACTTCATGTTTAATGGAGAACATTACCTGCAGGTTAATGGCACTGCTATGGGTACGAAAATGGCACCATCTTATGCCAATATTTTCATGGGCAGACTGGAACGCAACTTGCTCTTTCAAGCACCATTTAGGCCCCTTAGCTGGTTGCGTTTCATTGACGATATAGAGATGAAGTGGGTGGAATGTCGCGAGAGCCTCGAGGCATTCATTTCGTTCGCCAACACCTTTCATCAGTCTATCAAATTTACGGTAGACGTATCTAATTCGAAAAACATATTCCTAGATACTACATCTACCCTGACTGATGGTGAAATCGAGTTCAGTCTCCACACGAAACCCACAGATTCCCATCTGTATCTTATGCCAACTAGCTGTCATCCCCCACACACATTTAAGGGTGTGCCTAAGGGTCTAGCCACCAGAATTCGGCGCATCTGTTCATCCCCTGCCTTATATCAAGAACAAAGCGGTCTCCTTAAGTCCCACTTATGCAAGAGAGGCTACAATGCCCGCACCGTACAAACTGCTATTGATGAGATGGCGGGACATGACAGGCAAAACCTATTACGCTACAAGGAAAAAGACAATAGCGGCAGGGTCCCTCTGGTAACCACATACCATCCCGTCCTTAAGAACCTCAGCGGTATCCTTCAAAAGAATCTGCCAATTCTCCACTCAAATAAACGAATGGCAGAGGTCTTTAAGGAGCCCCCATTGGCTGCATACAGGCGCCCGAGGAACCTGAAGGACATGGTAGTAAGAACCAGATTGGACAATCCATTACCTAACGGGGGCTTTAAAACTTGCTCTGACAGAAGATGTCTTCTCTGTAAGTACAGCTCTGACACAGACAGTTTTAACAGCCCCGTTACAGGCCGCAGCTACAAAATACTAGGGAATTTGTCCTGTCAAACAGACAACTGCATTTATCTCATCAGCTGCAAAGTTTGCTCCAAACAGTATGTTGGTGAAACAGGAGATCTCCGCAGGAGAGTCAATAATCACCGTTCTACCATTAGGACCAAAAAACTCAATGAACCCGTTGGGGAACATTTCAACCTTGAAGGTCACAAATGGGAGGACATGACAGTAGTGGTTATTGACCATAATCCAAGATGGACAGACGCGCAGAGAAAAGGCAAGGAAAAGTTCTGGATGCACAGGCTGAAGTCATTCCGCCCTAATGGTATTAACAAACTTAATGACTTCACCAGGATGAACGTGAACTAGACCCAATCCCGAATTGTAACAAACAAGTTCATTCTCTCTATATAGCGTAAACTTTACCGTTAATTCGTATTAATAATCCTGGAACAACCTACCCAAATATTTACAGCTCACATTTTTGTTTATTTCTTTTTTCCGATTTCCAAATTTATAATATATCCAAATTCATATTTCAAAATTGTCCTTCCATATTATCTTTCTTTAATTTCTTTTTATCATGTAGAGTTACGCTATTTTGAGAGAATAAGACAATGTACGATTTACTGTTGGCCGTAATTAATTAGCGATAATTAATTCGTTCAATTATGTAAATCACACTTCACCGAGTACACCCGATAGACCGGACGCAATTCATAGCGCTCCGGATTTCTTTGTTCACAACTGTTTATAAACTCCAAATTAAACATGTAACCTTGTAAATATTTAGTGTTTGGTAGTTTAGTAGTAGTGCTAGTTGTTTTTGCTTCTCTATTTCCTTTGTTTTTATGACTTCTTAACTTTTTTCTTTGTCCTGAGGAAGGGACAGGTTGTCCCGAAAATTTGACAATTATTATTGTTCGTGTCGTTGGTCATTTTTAGTGCTTTATATAAATCTCCATCCGTGACCTTGTATCTACTTAGTAGATCCGACACTTCGGATATACAGTGTTGTTGGTTTTTAGTGCTTTTTATCTCTCGAAGTGCTTTCTATCTCTATTATATATATATATATATATATATATATATATATATATATATATATATATATATATATATATATATATACAGGTGACTCTCGATCTCTCGAAGTTCAAGGGACCGTAAGAAAAGTTCGAGAGATCGGGGGGTTCGAGAGATAGAAAGTAAATAAAATCCGGAATTTTCAGTTCCGATCATCATTGCTCTACTATTATACATACCGGAAGTATATGTTGATAATGTCATTACACGTTTTCTTTCATATTTTACAGGTAATTCACTCGATTTCAAAAACAATGATCGTATTTTGAATAAATAAAATGATTATTTTAAGTTTCAATATTTATTAGTTCTCATTTCATGATTACATGAAACTGAATAGCAATTGTCTAATTGGCTCTCCCCCGGGCTTGATTGGTCCTTCACAAGATTGTTCGTAATCGGTATTCAGTTCTTGAGATAGGATTTCTTGTGCAATGTTTGCCAAACTGGGATTGTGTAGACTCTAATAATATTAAAGTTCATAATCTATGGAAAAATTACTGACACGTCCGTAAATTATTTCCTCAAAATTATCGTCCCGTCCAGTCAAAATAAGTTGTGAAGCGATCTGTTTATAATTTAACAGTTAACCAATTAATTATTTCAACACTCGGACGATTCACAGGTGTAGTGTCATTTATGTAAACACCCAATTAACACGTCCATCTCAGCCCCAGGCGTTCACTGTTATCCAGGTAAGTCCAATGTGCATTAATTTTACGCTTGATTGACATGTATACATGCGTAATCAAAACAAAACTTCGAGAGATAGAGAGTAAAAAACAATGAAATGTGTGTAACGGGACCCAGATCTTGGTTCGAGAGATAGAGAACTTCGAGAGATGGGGAGTTCGAGAGATTGGGAGTAAATTTGCTTAGTTATATAGAGGAAAAAACGGGACCGGAGGTTCACTTCGAGAGATCGAGAACTTCGAGAGATCGGAGTTCGAGCCATCGAGAGTTATATATATATATATATATATATATATATATATATATATATATATATATATATATATATATATATATATATATATATATATATATATATATATATATATATGTATGTATGTATGTATGTATGTATGTATGTATGTATATACATACATACATACATACACTAGACAAAATTGCTAACGCACCACTTGTTAATCTTTTTTGTGAAATGCACATTTGCCTAATCGGTATTAGTGTATATAATACGCCATTTTTTCCCCAAAAACAGTGGGATTAACAAATGTCTTAGTGTCATGACAACATCCTAAAATGACCTTCTTGCCCGAAAACCAATTTCCCGACATGCATTGCACACATTTTTTGCCCATATATGAAGTTGGTGATTACCGATGGTGGTCCTTGATTTACCTTGAGGTTACACCAAAAGCAGTCTCCCAGTTAAAAATCAAATAATATGCAGCAATTAACAATCATATCACATAGCTATGCTAGTCATCCAGTGCCTTGATGTCCATACCCACTCCACCCAACTTCCGGTTGCCCCAATTTTGTGGAACAACCTTGAAATTGGGGTGTGGTGTTTACTTAATAGCTTGGCTGTTTATATTTGACATTTTTAAGTTTGTTAATCTATTTGCAACAATTTTTCACTAGAAGAATAAATAATTTTTTCATTGTTTTAATTTTCCATAAATTCTTCCAAAGGATCCCCCTGCAGACACCATACTGACTGTTTTAGCACGCTCTTGTAGGATCAAATGCAGCATACTGTTTATTTTATTCTGATTTTTTAATAAGTACAAACATAAAGAACACAGACACAAAGGAAAAATTGAAACTTATTCCTCCAAAAAAGTATGAAGACGATTTTCATTTTTTCTATGAAATGGTCAAGCTTCAGTTAACATTGTAGTTATTAATCAGTTAAAAAATTTAAATGCGTCATTTTTTACTTAAGTAACTTAAGCTTATAAGTAAGTCTAGTATATGTATATATATTGTTGTTGTTAAGATATTTCGGCTTTAATTTGACACCCACACCCCCTATTTAAGTGGAAATCCTGAATTCAACAATAAAGATACACTATAAAGTTACTAGGATTACTTAGGTACGTAGATTAGCATAAACATCAAAGCATTGATAAAAAAATCACTCTTTGTGTTATTGCGACATTTCTCTTCTTTTTCTAACTTACATCATTAGATAAATAGAGAACAATAAACTACTGTAGATCACTTTATTTTCGTGACATTTTATTTTTCGAGAGTCAGTTATTTGACATTTATAAGCGAGACAAAATTTTCGAGACCTATGGGTTTTGCTGTATATACAGTAAAACTAGTTTAGTACGAACACGGATATAGCAAATTCACGGATATTGCGAATTTTTCTTGGATCCCCAGCTATATAAATTTAATGAATTTCTTATACGGATAAAACGAATTACGGATACAGCGAAGTAATTTCACAGGTCCTACTGACTTCGTTATAACCGAGTTTTACTGTAATTCTTTCTAACAAATATACGCGAGAATGTAATTTTCGCAAGCAGACAGACTCGAGTAATTACGCGAAAATAAAGCTCTCGTGAATAAAAATTGATTAACAGTATCAATATGAAAATGAAAGAAAGAGTATTAGTCATCTCAAAATGATAGCTTGAGTTGTTTATTTTAGTCGGGATTTAACTGCAGCATAGCCAGAACTAACGGATCTTTCGTGGCACCATCATAAAATTCTTCCCATGAGATTTCTCCATCACCATTGGCGTCCATTTTTTCAAATAACTTCCGGGTCATCTTTTCAGGGGTACTGACGTCATCAGGCTTCTTTATTGATGGGGTCATCTTATACACCGCCTGTAATTGGAAATTTTATTATGTTCTTTGCAATTTAATTAACAGTCACAATTTATCAATTTTTCCCTATGTGGTGAAAAAACATATTTTGTGGTAGAGTTTGAGTGGTGTTAACTTTTTTCCAATGTTGTAAAAATAACATTCTTTAAAAAGTCCTAAAAACAAGCTTCACTTTCTCTGATCCTAGACTAGGTTCAGGTTTCTATATACATGTATCACACACACACACTGCTCATGCTTTTTTTTTTCTAAATTCAATCACCCATATTTGAAGTCAGCTATATGACTGTGACTCAACACAGCAATCAATTATTTATTGTGATGTCAGTAAACAACTTGAAAATTCCGAGTTGTGGTTACACAAGATCAAGGAATCTTCTAATTGATTTTCTACTGTATTACACTACAGATTAAATCATAAAGTTTTCTGCTGAATGGTAACTCAATCTGGTTCCATCTACAATGTACTTCTGCATAATGAAGAGAAGAAAATAATTAATTAAACTCCCTCATCGTAATCTTACTCATTTAAATATTTGTCTTTTTTGTAGCTAGCTAGTATACACATGACATTGGGTTGTATAGTGATATGATAAATCAAACTTTATCACGTTCAATTGATTATGCTGCATAATCAAGTCAAGCAAATGTTGAATTACGTTTACCCTCATCATTGACGTCATTTCCTTTTTATCGATGGAACCATTTCCGTCTATATCATACATGCTGAACGCCCATTTCAATTTTTTCTCAACGTCACTACTTGAAGTCACGCTCAAACCAATCAAAAATTCTTTGAAATCCACTTTTCCATTTTTATCCGAGTCAAACGTTCTGAACACGTGTTCTGCAAAGGCCGTTGCATCTCCGCCAAATATCTTTGAGTAGACGTCCTTGAACTCTTTGACGGTGAGAAATCGACCATGCCTGCAGCTTTTCTGGTACTCTTCATACCACTCTTGTATTTCGTCCGCACTAAAATCTACTCCACTCTTTTGTAAATCTTGAATTGCAGAGGGTTTTAAACGTGATGTTTTATTTCCCATTTCGACTTCTCTTTATTGCCCATTCCAGTGTCTTTCTAAACAAACATACCAAAGAATGAAACCCGGAAGTAATCATATGGAACATTTTGAAGAAACTTAAATAATGTATATTTAAATGTGATTTTTTAAAATATGAGAATCTTATACAACGGTATGAACACTCCTCTTTTTATATACATGTACATAGAAAACAGTTTGCATACCTTTGAATGTCCAATTCTCCTTCTTCGCCATATTAGTTTAAATTGACAGGCACCTTGACTCAAAGGTAGAATCGTTACTCGTATACCAGTAAACAAAAATCGATCGGGACATTTAAATTCATGAATGTTTAGATATTGCAGATAACATGAAGCTTTTTGTGAAGAGGTTTTCTGATGTAAAGGTTCTCAAAAAATACCCTGCAGTGCCATTGCCGAAACTCAAAAGAAATCCAAAAAATTATAGTTCTTCAGATGGTCACAACAGCTAATCTCTGCTAAATTTGTAATTCTCAGCGATGCCAATATCAGAGAAATGTCATTTATTTGAAATGGACCAATAAATGAAGACAATTTTACGCACAAAGAAATCTGGCTCAAAAGTCGCTCAAAATAAGGATATGATTAGGTCATCCTTAAAACTGACAAAGAAGAAAATTTTTAGCGAAAAGATAGCCATAAATACAAAATATGAGTGTATTTAAAATGATGAAATTTATAATCTTTTATTAAATTAAAGATAATTCTTGTAAATATATCATTTTTGTTGTTTTCATGTGTCCTCTTTCAATCTGTATGGCAGTTCTCCTTATTTTCTATTTCCATGTATACATTCATAAAGCACAAAACATTCAGATTACAAATAAGCTGGACCCCGCTACAAGTTATGCAATCAATGACTGCAGTATCCGGAATGTTATTCAATAAATGTTTATTCTTTCGTACAGGATAGAAGCCTATAATTAGATATTCTTTGGTGTGGGCCTTTAATGGTGTTATTGCGGTTTTTCTTGAGCAGAAGGGGACCTTGTCCCTAAATTCCCTTCAGTACAAAGGAAGCGTTAAAGAAAATTCGCAATATGATCCACTTAATTGTGAGACCCGGAATCCACAGGTTAGCCTAAGAGAGAATGTGTATTTAAACAACAAGTTTCACAAATATTTACAAAAGTCGTATCCAGGTTAATTCTGTGAACATCTTTGTTTGAACAAGAATTGGTAGTTTTTTCAAAGAACTGACACCCCAAATGCAAGGGAAGCCATAGGTAAGATATGCAAACATTGTTTGGTTTGCAGTTACGGTCTTCTTTATTATTATTGTCAGTTTAAAATACCTGAAGGAATAAGACACTGCTGATTGATTTGATATCGATGTTTTTAATTCATAATGACTTCCGTTTTGTAGTACTTTGTGTCTTTCAAGAAAACAGAAGACAACGACCTAGTAATTGGATTTTGACTAACAGATCCTCGGTCAAACAATGGGTCAACATAATAGTAGCCAAGAAAAAGAGGGAGAAAGGGAATTAATGAGGCGCCATAAAATTAATAAGAGCGAACTTGAATCTTTGAGGAAATTATTTCGTGAGCGGTGTGGTGGAAAATATAAAGCTCTGACAAAAACAAAATTTCGAGAGGTTTACAATGAGTTGTTTCCTGGAAAATCCACTCAGTATGCAGATGAGATGTTCCGATTGTTCGACATGGACGGTAACGGAAAGGTGGATTTTGTGGAATTTGTAAGGAACATCTGTATGTGTGATAGTGACGATATAGAAGAGAAAATAGAGATAGCTTTTGCTTTATATGATAAAGATAACAGTAAAACAATAACACAGACGGAAGTAAGGAACATGTTAGAGGTAAGAATGTTTAAAATCTATGACTTTTAACAAAGACCTCTCCAACACTTCAGATTGTTAAGAATCAATTTAAGTTCCTTCAAATATTGCCATTCCATTCAAGGGATTTAATAAATTTCTATTTCAAGGAATTTACTTAGCCGATCCATTCATTTTTGTGTACTGTTTCCTTTTTTTTAGGCTTATACAAATATGCTTGGTGTTCCATTGGAAGGTGGAAAAACAGGAGCCCAAATCGCCAAAGAATTCTTCGCAGAAATGGATGCTGACGGTGATAAATCTGTAACATTTGATGAATTTCAATACGCAGCGAGACGAAATTCTGCAATCCTAAGTATAGTTAATCCTAAACCTCCAAACTGGGTAGACTAGATTGTCTGGAAAGTCTTTGGCGCCACTGATGTGTTTGCTATGACAGATTTTAGAACTTAAATGTTTAAACAAACCGTGAGTGTCCGTGAAACAAATACACATGTAAGAGTTTGTTTAACGTTAAAGTCTCCTCGATCATTCGCCATGTCTTTATATATATGTTATAGAAAATTTAATTAACATTTTCAAGATATATTAAACAGAAATATCAGGAGTTATAATGTTGATGTGAAATACTACGTAACTTCTTAATTTCCTATGCATGTTGAGAGTTCAGTTTGATTATAATTTTGCATCGTATAAGCCTGAATTCTTCTTAAATGTTTTACTGTAAACATAAAACTTTCTTTTCATTTGTCTTAAAAATAAAGTATGTCATACGTTTTATGTATGTATGTATGTACCATCAATGATATCGGAAAGTTCTCTCCAGCACATCTCATTCTTATTTTTCCCAACGTGTGTACTTCTTTCAAAACCAAATTTAACTATTCTTGCAGATTGGCTCTTTTAAACACAAACTATCCATATCTTAACACAAGAAGATATGTATTTGCTTGCAAATCCCAAATGTAAGCAGCGAATCACAATTACCTTTAATACCGTGAAACCTCAAAATTATAATTATTCGTTAAAAATTATTATCCCTGCCAATAAAGGTAGTTAACTTTTTTACTTTAAGTAAATTATTAGCTTGAAATTGATTGCTCCTGCCAACAAAACAGTCAGCTTTCTTACATTTTTAGCTCACCTGAGCCGAAGGCTGAAGTGAGCTTTTCTGATCACATTTTGTCCGTCGTCCGTCTGTCCGTCCGTCTGTAAACTTTTCACATTTTCGACTCTTCTCCAGAACCACGGGGCCAATTTCAACCAAACTTGCCACAAAGTATCCTTGGGTAAAGGGGATTCAAGTTTGTTCAAATGAAGGGCCACACCCTCTTTCAAGGGGAGATAATTACGAATTAGTGAAAATTTGGTGGTATCTTTTAAAAATCTTCTTCTCAAGAACCACTGGGCTGTAAAAGTTGAAACTTATGTGAGACCTTCATTACATAGTGTAGATTCAAGTTTGTTCAAATCATGACCCCGGGGTAGTGTGGGGCCATAATGGGGGATCAAAGTTTTACATAGAAATATGTTGGAAAAATCTTGAAATTGTTTTTCTCAAAAACAACAAAGCCACAATTAGTCATATTGATATGGAATCATCCTAAGGTAGTGTAGATTCAAATTTGTACAAATCATGACCCCCAGGGGTAGGGTGGGGCCACAATGGGGAATCAAAGTTTTACATCGGAATATATAGAAAAAAATCTTTTAAAATCTTCTTCTCAAGAACAACAAAGCCACAATTAGTCATATTGATATGGAATCATCCTCAGGTAATGTAGATTCAAATTTGTACAAATCATGACCCCCGGGGGTAGGGTGGGGCCACAATGGGAATCAAAGTTTTACATAGGAATATATAGAAAAAAATCTTTTAAAATCTTCTTCTCAAGAACAACAAAGCCACAATTAGTCATATTGATATGGAATCATCCTTAGGTAGTGCAGACTCAAGTTTGTTCAAATCATGACCCCCGGGGATAGGGTGGGCCTAAATGGGGGATCAAAGTTTTACATAGAAATATGTTGGAAAAATCTTGAAATTGTTTTTCTCAAAAACAACAAAGCCACAATTAGTCATATTGATATGGAATCCTCGGGTAGTGTAGATTCAAGTTTGTACAAATCATGACCCTTGGGGGTAGGGTGGGGCCACAATGGGTGATCATAGTTTTACATAGGAATATATAGGGGAAAAAACTTGAAAAATCTTCTTCACAGAAACAGCAAAGCCATGTTTTGTCATATTGATATGGAAGCATCTTCAGGTAGTGTAGATTCAAGTTTGTTCAAATCATAACCCCCAGGGGTAGGGTGGGGCCACAATGTGGAATCAAAATTTTTACATAGGAATATATAGGAAAAAATCTTTTCAACGACAGAAAAGCCATGTTTAGTCATATTGATATGAAAGCATCCTCAGGTAGTGTAGATTCAAGTTTGTTCAAATGATGTGGGGGGGGGGGGTAGGGAGGGTCCACAATGGGGGATCATTTTTTTTTACAAGGGAATATATAGGAAAAAATCTTTAAAAATCTCCTGCTCAAGAACAGCAAAGCCATTTGTTATATTGATATGGAAACATCCTCAGGTAGTTCAAAATCCAAGCCCCCCCCCCCTCTTTAAACTTTTCAATACTGAAGTGATTTGTGCTTTTTCCTAGCCAATGTGCTCAGGTGAGCGATGTGGCCCATGGGCCTCTTGTATTACTAGTTAGAATTTATTACCACTGCTAACAAAGGCGATTTACTTTTGACCTTTGATTATTAGCTAAAATTCATTATTTTTGGAAGGAAGGTAGTTATTTTTCTTCTATCTTTGATTATTAGCTAAAATTCTCTACCCTTGACAACAAAGTAGGAAAGAGTTTTTGCATTCAAACATGTTCTCTGTCAGTCTGTCTGTATGATTTTCTAAGATTTTTCATTGATTTTTTAGGAGATGTTTTTATGTGCAAAGAACAATCGATAAGATAGTCAGCTTAATCTGTCTAAACATAAATTTTAAACATTATTTAGTAAAAAGGGCTCTGTTGTATACTTTGCAGTAAAATTAAAGACAAATGATTGAAATCCTCATTATGTCACTTTATTAGGACTTACACCGTCACGGTAGCTCAGTCGGTAGAGCGCTCGCTCCGTGATCGGAAGGTCATGTGTACGAATCACGGCCGCGACTGACCTAAGTCGATAAAAAAAAAGGTAACAACTGTTCCTTCGCCAAGCGCTCGGCGTTTTGAAGTGAAAGTTGCGGGTCATTCGGAGGAGACCTTAAGACCGAGGCCCCTTGTCACGGTAGGCGTTGGCACGATAAAGAACTGCTCAAAGGACCTGAGTGCCGAGTAAAGGTCTAAATTTGACGCCCTTCACCGTTATTATGGTGACGTCTCTATGTGAGTGAAAAATTCTCGAACGGGACGTAATACTCACTGGGTGGATCCAGCCGCCATTTGTCCACCTCCAGTTTGGTTGGATAAATACTGTTCTCCTCTCTGACGTTACTCCACTGCACTCATGATCATTTTCTTTACATTAAACTGATGTCTTCCATCATGTTTCTGTCTTTCTTTTGATTCTAGCCTTAATATTTCTATGTCCAATTTCTGTTTCTCTTAATCCAATTTCTGGCACTCAACATTAATTAGCTTAGCCTTTCATTTGCTGTATTGCATCCCTCCATCACAGATCTGAGAGCAACTTCAAGTTTTGTTTTTCTTATTCTATTCTCTTCAGTCTTTTCTCTGGGCTTACCGTCAGTGACATCATTTGCCTTTTTCTGGAAGTTTGGGCCTCTTATTTCTTTATCTTGTTCATCTTGGCTTTCAGGATTTTCATTTTTTTATACTAGGTGTATCACTGACATAATCTCCGGGAATTTCTTTCTATTTGTTCTTCATTTGCAGTTGAATCACTTTCACCTGAATCCTCGTGCTTTCGTTTTTACCGAAGTTGATCGATTACTATTAAAGGGGAAGATGTATCTTTTTGCTTCCAAGTATTAAATCAAGTTCTTCAAAACATTTACATATTTTTCTGCCTTTGCTGCTTTTTTTTTTTAGTTTTGATTTACATTCTCTATATGACCTCTTTAGAGTATAAATACGTATTTTGCACTGATTTTGTCTTCTCAAACCCTTAATATCTCTGACATTTCATTTCATTGGCAACTATGTTTTAAATTTCACCATGGTTTTCCAGTCGCTCTTCAATGCTTTAGTTTGTTCATCCCAAATTGAGAGAAGCGTTCTGAGCCCCTTTTTTACCATAATTCCTTTTTTGGAAGTCATCTCTGATACTCACTTGGAGAATCAGGTAAAAAACAGATCAATGCAATAAATGTGACAGTTAACAAGAGTGATGCATAATATTAAGAAAGGGTCAATGATGAACACTGATATACTTGTATAAGTAAATTTTATTCTGCATTCATGTGACGAGAACTGCCCACAGGAGCAAAATATTTGCTTTTGCTTATGTGAGTAAAAAGATTTGCAACTTTACTTATACCCCATTCATACGACGAAAATTTGCTTATGTGTGCAAATTTACAGATGAGTAAATTTACACACATAAGTAAAAGTTAATTTGCTATGCATTCAGACGAGATTTATGTACCATAAGTAAATCCTCAAATTGTCATTTAAAATAAGGAGATGGACCGCTTCAGACTTGTGAATTTTCACAGAAAAGGGGTATTTCCTTACTATTTGGGTATAGGATTAACTTACTATTTAGGTATAGGATTAACTTTTGGATGTTCCTCAAAGGAAGTAGAAGAAAAATCCGATCCAAAAATTGGTACGACAAAACCGTTCTTTATGACTTAAAGGACGAAGATTGGTGTAAGAATTTTGAATGTTTAAGGAAAATTTCATAAAATTTTGTGAGAAGTTGGGAAATGCTTTTGTCCCAACCCAAAGACTGTAGAAGAGCTGTTGGATGTAAAGAAGAAGGTGGCTGTTACCATCTACCATGTATTTGCGACAACGTGTATGCAAAAGTTAATTTACACCTTGTCCTGACCAGGTGCAAATTTACTCAACTGTGCATAATTTGCATATGAGCAAATCAGTTCATACAACAAAAATTGCACATGTAAGTAAATTTACATATGTGTAAAATATACTGAGGTATGCAAATCGTGTCATATGAATGGGGTATTAAATGGTTAAATTTTGCAGATTAATAAATTTATTTAGTAAATTTATGTGCCGAGAGCGGCTTAGGTGAGTATATTTACATATGTGCAATGAATTTGCATGTGTGTGTAAAGCTCGTCGTATGCAGAGAGGCAATATTAATTGCTATTCAACTCTGGAAAGGTGCCAAAGGTCGTCAAGATATTTCAATGTTTCAAACAGAATTTTAGAAGCTAGTATTATTCAATTATATTTGAAGATTACATATTCAAATCCATGAAATTTTCCTTTCTAATTTGAATATTGCTTCTTGAGACGGGTACCGCAGTAACGGTTATATGGAACAAATTCTCTCTTAGGATTTATCATGTCTCATTAACTTAGATAATTTTTCAAGGTGTAAATTTAATTTTAAGGTCATAGTAAGAAAGACTTTAAATTTTGACAAAATATCTTCAATTATGTATCTTGTTACTCTGTAGAAAACTATCAATTTCGCGTACGCGTGACTCTTACCTACCCTAATTTAAGAGAGATCTATATCTTGTTGATTGAAGTCTACTACGTCTAAGGAATCAGCTTTCTGTAAGTTACATTTTCGTAGCTTTAATCCTAAACATATTCTTTATTTATACAACTATATTAGTTCTGTCTTGAAAACACTAAAGTACAAGCTCCAAAAAGTGTATTGAGTGTTTTAAATTCAAACTAAAAAAGTTTATTTCTCGTTCTTTATTATCATCACCCACCTTTAAATCTTAAGTGCTACATTCCTCGTTAGAAACTTTTCGTTCTGTATATTCTCTATGGTTATGGGAGTGGACACAATTTTACATTTCTTTTATTGAGAAAGAAGAATCGATGCCCTTCATGCATGCAATAAAAAGTTGTATTATTTGTGTTTGTTTCACTGTTAAATATTAAATTACATAAGTGAAAATACGCTGAATTGCTTGATTAGTCATTTGTCGATCGATTCATTAAAGATTATCGATCCGTATAGTAAGTTGTTTTTTCTGTTATTGTTTTAAATTTCACTTCCTATAACAAAGTAGTAGCAAAGGAACAATTTTCCTCCACTGCGTCTGTAGAAACCTGCAAAGAGAACACGAAATGGGCCAAAAACACAGCAGTTTGGACGAGGGGCTGATGCAGCGTCACAGGATTAACATCAACGAGCTTGAAGCTCTGAAGCATTTATTCCGCGAATGGAGCGGTGGGAAGCACAAAGCACTGACCAGGACGAAGTTCAGAGAGGTTTACAAACAGGTTTTTCCAGGGAATTCATCTCATTACGCAGACGAGATGTTTCGATTATTTGACGAAGACGGGAATGGAGAAGTAGATTTTGCTGAGTTTGTTCGTCACATCTGTCTGTGTGATAGTGACGATATTGAAGAGAGGATTCAGGCTGCCTTTAGGTTGTATGATAAGGACAACAGTGGGACAATAACGCAAACAGAAGTAGGGGAAATACTGGAGGTAAATACTGTAGGTTTCTTCAAGTGTTCCAAATGCCTTCGAAATTACAAGCACATCGAGAACGAGGTGGCTTCTGAAATCATTTCCATTTATTGTGTTTCTTTTTGGTGTTATTTTGGCGAACATGCTTAAGTGTCTTTTTGTGTAGAAATGTAATATTTTTTGTATTGTAGGCTTATGAGCAAATGCTAGGGAGTTCTATTGAAGATGGGAAAAGTGGACATCAGGTTGCTAGCGAATTCTTTGAGGAAATGGATGCTGATAATGACGAATCCGTTACATTAGAGGAATTTACACAGGCTGCTAGGCGAGATTCACGGATTCTGCATATAGTGAATCCAAAGCCCCCGACATGGAGTGACTAGTATCTCACTGTATGATTTTTTTTTTTACACATGACTAATAATTCAATTGTAAATCATTGAAAAACTTAGTCTTTTGTGAGAAAATGAAACTCATTGCAATTCATTATGTACCAACTGTTTGAAGATGACTTCGTCCATAATCTTGTATAAACTTACTCAAAAAGTATGTATACACTGTAAGTGTTTAATTTAGCGATGAGAGGTATTATTTTACATTAGAAATTGGTGAGAGATATATGCATATTGTACATTTATAGTGTATATACTATGATTACATTAATTTCACGGGAAAATTATTGTGTTTCTATTTTCTTACGCGACCTGTGTATTATACAACATTGTATTTGTTTGTGTATATAGAATATTGTATTGGTGGTAAGGTTAGGCGCTCGGTATAGAACATCGTGTTCCTGTCTCGGGGACAGTAAATAAGATCATTGTTTTTACATGTATTAGTTAGGCGACCTGTATTTAATAGAACGTTTTGTTTCTAACACGATTATGCGCATTTTGTAACATAAAACATTGAGTTTTCTCATTGTTATATGTTTACTTCTGACGTCATGATTAAATGGCTTAGACAAACTTGTTTACAATTTTAAATTTCTCTTTTTATCTTAAAGATAACTTAAGATTAATGATTTGAAATCACAATTATGAAAAGTTTTGCATTCTTCAGAACCTTACACCTTCTAACATTCTATTCTGACTTTTCTTGTTCATAGTTTTCATATTTTATTTATAAAGTAAAGATTTCTCACTTCTCTTAGATATTAAGGATAAATTTTAGTGCGTGAAAGAGCTAAAATGGGCCCGAGATTCTTAGATTTAATAATTTTGAAATAAGGTAAGTCTCTGAAGACGATTTTGTAATATATCGCCGCTATGAAATGCTCTCGCAATATTCAGAATATTCAGAATTTGTCATGAAATTCTATGGTTAACAGAGAAAATAACCATGTTTGCATTAATGTTATACAGGATATAATATATTTGTCACTCTCATGCCTACTTAAGTCCTGACCTCCTCCTGCTCTTTAAACACATTTAGGAATAAGCTTTGTTCTGATTATTATCAGTAATTAACAAAGAGCTGATCTTAAACAACCGTTAAAAGTTTGTTTTATGATATATCCTGAAGGTTACTAGGAAGTATCTTGTTACTAGTATCTAATATTCCCCTGGTATACTTTTACCTTGGATGAGTAACTGTATTTAATTTTTTTCAAAGTTTCAAAAATAACATTTAAAAAAAAAAAAAAAAAAGGAACACACAAGCTACTTTAATTTCAAGGTAAAGAAGTATGTGCAAGGAGGGATGGACAATTCAATGACTTGGAAATAACGTATTTAAAAGGTAAAAGAGCCATTAAAACTATCAAAAACAAATAAATTATATATTTAAACTATAGTAAAGTTATGAGCAAAACTTGCAATGTCAAGAAATTTAATTATGAACTGTTTTATATTGTAAAACTACCTTAAAGGGGCTTGGACACTGAATTCAAGTTAAATATTTTCTAAAATCTTCAGTAGAATATCATGACTTTATGTACCTAGAGCATTTCATGTGCATTCAAATATAATAAAAATGGGTTTAGAAACTTCTTTTAAAACTACGAATTTCGGGATGCATTTGATTGACACATATCCTTGCACTTTCACAAAGTAAACTTTATCCATAATACTTGATAAACGTAGAAATTTTGCTGTGTATTAATGAACAATATTAAAACTATAAGCTAGAAAGAAAACTAAAAAGTCTGCTATTGCAAGCAATAGCGTATGTCGCCCCGAACTGGCTTTATCAGAAATGGTCTAAGAGTGTATTATTCTGTTCTATTAGTAATAATTTTGATTTCCTCAAAAACCTCTTTTTTGTTTTATTTCTGATTGTTGAACATGAAATACATCAGAACACAGATGTTTATACATGTAACTAACACTAACATATCCGGAGAATTAAATTGCATTGAAGGAATAATATCGCTAGTTTTTAGTCACTACTGATACCGGAAATAATTTAACTAAAACAAGTGGTTTATATTAAGATGAAGTAATCGTAAATAAGATGATTTACACACACGCAACAGAAAAAGCATCACGGCAGCGGAATATAAACTCATATATTAGGGAAAAAGTGAATTTTTACATCTCTGTTCATCAGTACAGAAATTCGGCGATTAACTAATTGAGTCATAGGCAAGCACATTTTCATGAAAATTTATTTTGGGTCTTAAGTAGATTTAAAGTCGATCAGGGGTTGATTTCGGGTTAAGAGAAATATTTTATGTTGTTGTTATTCTGGGTGAGGCGCGTGCGTGTGTGTGTAAGGGGGAAGGTAGTAAAAATGTACAGTAACGTTTTCAACTTTACATTTATTAGTTAACAGGATTCTATTTGAAAACTGCATGTGAAAAATAAAGCATTATTTAAGAAAAAAAAATTCAGAGAAAAACGATACTTATCAAAAACATAATTGCTGCATACACTATGCAGAATTTCAAAAATTGTGGTTTTAATATATTTTATGATAGTTGTGCAAGTTCATTTCAAAAATTGTGGTTTTAATATATTTTATGATAGTTGTGCAAGTTCATTTCATTTCTTAAAATAAGGTAGCAATGCTCAATAAATGTATAACTTGTATAATAATACTGTAAAAAGAAAGAAATATCGTTTTCTTATAATTTCATAACGTATTATCTGTTAATTGGATTTTAAAATACATTGCATCATGTCATGAAATTGACATCAGAAATCTAATGGAAATTCAAATTTCTCTTTCTAAATAGACATTTCATTTTCTCATCACTAAAGCAATAACCATTAGCTAATCTTGGACAACCATCAGTCGCCCGCGTGGCGCAGTGGTTAGAGCGTCTGCTCTAAAGTCGCGAAGTAAAGAGTTGATCCTTACGTCGCGGGTTCGAATCCCACTGTGGGACGTGGAGACCGTTCCTTCGGATGAGACTGTATAAACCGAGGTCCCTGTCGCAGTAGGTGCTGGCACGAAAAAGATCCCTCACTGCTCAATGGCCGTAAGTGCCGAGTATAGGACAAAATTTGCAGCTCTCCACCGGTAAATGGTGGCGTCTCCATATGAGTGAAAAATTCTCGAGAGGGACGTTAAACAACATACAATCAATGGACAACCATCAACTCTTATCAGTCTTTCAGTACTTTGATTAAAAGAAACTTCTGATAGCATACAATGGTTACGTGACCACGATTTTTCTTAAATCATTTGTTCCTTACCTGTCGTCAGCGACAAACTTTGAAAAAATAAAATATCCCATGCACAACTAGGGTTGCTGATTTTTATTTCTGTAAAGTTTCATGAAGATTTTGAAAGCTATCTACGAGAACGCTCGAGTACAAAACTAAGGTGAACCAAAATACGACTTCGTTCTGGTGGCTGAAGCATTGGGCCTGCTCCAATTTTTTTGCGGAAAACAATTTGATCCAGTAAAAGGAATAAACCTTTAAAGTTTCCAAAAGATTGCTTGCGTACTTACTGAGAAAAATAGAAATTAAAGATTTTTCACTTTTCGTCCGCTTCCATGGCAACGGTGGGAATTTAGAAAAAATTGAATGTTGACTGCACACCTAGAGTTTCTAATTATAATTTTTGTAAAGTTTCCTCAAGATTGTCCAAGCCACCTCTGAGAACATATGTGAGCATAATACCCTTTTTTCTGTTTTGTTTCTAAGGTAATTATGTGCGGCCAATTCGAGTTATTTTAAAAATAGAAATCCTTTTCACCCAATGCAAGGAATCATCCATTAAAGTTTCAAAATGATTGCTCGAGCAGTTATTGAGAAAATCGAAGTTAAAGAATTTTCACTTTTCCTCTGTTTCCATGGCAACAAATGACAATTTGAAAATTTGAAATGCGAATCACACAACTACAATTACTGATCATCATTTCTATAAAGTTTAATGATGAATGTTCAAGGGACCAGTGAGAACACGCCCGGACAAATTTCGTCACGTTTCACACATTTCCATGGAAGCAGTAGCCATTTTGAAACTGAAAGTCTGCACTGCACAAGTACAACAGTTACTAGTGATCGTCTTTTGTGGAAAGTTTCAGGAAGATTGTCCCAGCCATCTGCGAGAAAATTCCCGGACAAGGTTTTTAGGCACACAATAGCAATATGTCGCCTGACTTTGTTCGGGGCGACATAATTAAGACAAGAAATGCAAGAAAGTAAAACCAACTCATCAGTATTGTCAGTCCATGCCCAGTGATGTATGCAAAGTAAGCAAATTGAACACGCCTGGTAAAACGTAAACATTAACAATAACAGAGCTTGTGCCCTGTTTACAAACACAGATGTTTGACATATGATGTAAAGAAGAATGTCGTTGTCAATGAATTCTAAGAATGTTCACATAAATTCAATTCATTAAACTTAATTTATTTTTGAATAAACATAGAAATTTAAAATGTAAACAATGCAACTGTGCCCAGGCTACTTTAAGTTTGTAAAAATAAGAAAAGTAAAATATCCTTATCTACTTTTAATCATATTGTTTTCATTATAATATGTATGTGGTGTATACAAATATATATATAGAAAAAAAGATAAACTTATGGAGATATACATCTTAACATAAAAATGTATATGTAAACACTGACAGTCTATAATATTATTGCTAAAGAATACATACATTAACTTCGAGGAAAATAATATTTCCAATGATTATTGCAAAAATTTATAAACATATACTTATAACTACAAAAAAGTCAAAATAAAGAAGAAAGATTCACAACATTGTCAAATATTATGAAATATGGACAAAAGTAAAGTACATGTATAATGTTGCAATAGAGCCATTTATCAAAATGGATATGATAGCAATAAAAAAGTTATCACCAAAAACTCATTACATTTAAAGAAAGAAGTGTATAAATACAGAATATTATCAAATATGGTTAAATACAATATCTATGGTAAAATATCAAAAAATTCTTCTATTTATAAATAGTCCA